GTAACGAAGGAGCTCGTGCAGTTGCTGATAGAAATCATCTTTTACCGAATCAGTGCTACAGTTTGTAGGGGCGTAAGCCGCAATGACAAACAGGCACCGTTTGTCCCCGCGCGACTTCGTAGCACGGAAGGAACCAGATAATCTAACGGCACACATCCTACTGTTTACTGGGATCCAATCAATCAGGGCAGCTTCAGCCCGGGGACTCAAAACAATGCCGACGCCAGCTTGACCGGCATTTGAAGCTGTATCATCGCCAGATAAGCGCAATGAGAATGTGCCGCCAGTGTCGCATGTGGGGGATCTCAGGGTAAATACGGAGCTCGAATCTTGCAGGCGGGTTTCTGATAAACAGCAAATATCGATCGATAGGGTCTCTAGTGTGCGGGCAAGTGCTGCCTGTTGGCCAATCTGCAGCAAAGTGCGCACGTTGAAACATGCCAGTCTTAGCGAGACGCGAGGACTCCAAAGGGAAACGGATGAACTGACGTTGTCCGCTTGCTTGAACATGGACTTGTCAACTGGATTGGAGCGAGGCCCTGGGATTGTGTGTGATTTGAAATTAGAAGACAAGCGACTACTGAAGAAAGCTGGGGGAGGGCCAAGAATTGGGGGATTGAAAATGGGGGGGATATAAGTAAAGTTGGAGCGGGACGACAAAGATGAAGAAGCGCAAGAAGGGGTATAAGAAGACGGGAAGGCCTGAGCAGTAGCATCCAAACCCCTATCCACCCTGCTCGATGCAGCAGATAGGGCGCCGTTTATTATCCTCTGCGACGGCCAGAGCATCAAGAAATTGTTGTAGGAAAGTTTCATTGTATTGCGTGGGCAGAATACTGTCAGGTTGCCCAGGCCTAGACAGGAGAACGATTAGGGTTCTCAACCAAAGCCTTTGGTTCAAAAACCTGACCGCAAGGCAGCGGGTTTGGCATTGGACTACGGAGCCCGTTTTATGAAATGAGGAGCCACCCCCATTCCAACCCCCAACCTGGAGGACCAGGAGGCTGAGTTTGTCTGGCCTCTAACCATTGACCAATCTGGTATGAGTGGCTCTGAAGGTGCAAAAGCACCACCCAGCATAGCTCAATGGATCTCTGAGGCACGCAAACCATCGCACCACGGTAAGGTCCAGCCTCATTGCGATGGACAATATTACTTATTACTAAACCAGGACAATGGCGAGAATAAAAGCATAAGCTAGGAAGAGCATGTTTGTGATAAATGGGAGATAGTGTGTCCACCTCTCACTGAGTCTGAGGTTGACAGACGTTAGGTGGATAATGGAGCCAGGTAAAAGAGAATTTCATGGAAATAGTCAAGGTAGCATGTGGTGGCGGTCGGAAGTCCTGGAATTCTGGCTATACCAAATGATATGGGTCAATCTGATACACGGTTAACTTGCTGGCAAGCTTAAACGAAAATGGAAGATTGTAGCGCAAGATGATGATAGGATCCGAAACAGGATCTGTCTTCTCGTTCTACAAAATCAACCAGTGTTATCAGATGGAGAGCATTTAAGTCTGGAAGAAGTTAAGGGTTGATGAGAGCTAAAATGTGGTGAGGAAGAGTGACAAAGTCTAGGTCATATTTGCGGTTTCGTCAGAGCATTAGTTAAACAACCAGCTGTAATATTATGATATGGAGTTCCGAGGTAAATATTTCAAAACCAACATGACAGCGAAAAAACTCAGATGACCAGTAACAAGGGCAGGACGATTAGCAGTGTCAGTGCCGAAATCTAATAAGATTGGTTAATTCTGTAACCCAAGGGGACAAATAGAGCACTGAACCTAGAAAAAAGTGAAATGTACAAAGGTAGATCAGCAGGGTCAGGACGCTTATAAGGTGAGACATAAGCCGAGCAGAACTACGAATGCGGTAGATGTGAGGCTCGTCAATTAAGTTCTATAGGGCCATTCTCATAAATATCATCTAGTGACGTAGATCCGCCCAACATACGTAATGCCACCTTCACCGTTAGATGACGGAACACACACACGCACACGAAGTAAATGCTTAGTGTTGTTGCACCTAATGAATTCAATAAGCCTATTCCATGTGGTTCCATTTCTTATGAGACAGAATTTGGAGCACAACCTTGTGCACTATCACACTAGACAGGGAATAATATGCTAAATCGAAATTGTGCGCAGTAATTGGTTAAAGTAAGCAATGGTCTTTGGGATCCCTATGTGCAGTTTGATCGGAACATCTGCTAGGACTGTCTCCCTCATCGAGTGATAACTACATATCCAGTCGCTCAAGTAGAGTACAAACATCACAAAAATTTCACGCATGGATCATGTACTCATAGACTTGTGACTTCAAAGTCCCAACCAACTGTGTACGACGTACTCATTATCCAATTCAACCCTCGGTTTGCTTGTTTACCATTCACTGTTATACGGTATGAGTTACACACTGTGTGAAGAGTACTCTCGTAAATCACGCGAAGGTTTATTTAGATGCCTTGATGATTTTATTAATCATCTCACCTGTTCACTCATCATTTCTAAATTGTTTGCTTAATCATCGCACAAAATACTCCTAGTACACCCACAATATGCAAACCGCTGCACGTCTGGCGCGATCAGCTCTGGAAACTACATCCACGTGGTCCAAGCTAAGTCGGCTGTCGTTGTATAGGGCTTCATAATTCAAATGCCATCTTTACACCAATTATCCGCTTTGCGGACCAAATCATCGCGCATATTTTTCCGAATAGTTTCTCGAGACCATAATGAAGGCAGAACTACTGTGAAACTGAAAAATTTGACTAACGCTAAGGTGCACTACAAATTGGAGTCCACTGCTTCCGGGTTGTATTATTTCAAGCCTCGCTATGGTTGCCTCGATCCAAAGCAAGAATCGCTTGTTGATGGTAAGTTGATTTTATAAAACAACCACGTGAAGTGTTCTTACTGTCTTTTGATCGTCGTGATCCGGCAAACCGTAACCATGAGCTAATCGTTCAAAGCATGCTAGGGAAGATTGAGAAAGAAGAAGATTATCCTCAGCTGGTACGTGAAGTTATTGCATCTACCACATTTGCCGCCACTCTCTGTTCCTAGTTTGAAAACACCAAAAAAGCACAAATTCTGACGCACAGAGTAAAGTGCATCCCTTACGAATGTGGGACATTGGCTATAGAACAGTACCAGGAGCTTCTGTTTGAAGGTATTCACTTAATCTGGACCATATCTACATTTAAGGTCCATTTCAGTTACCGTTTTCTTCCAATATCTCTCTGCACAACTTTAATTATGATACTTTGTATTTCAAAGTAGAAACCTCAACAACTAATTTGTCGGTCTTTCCACGCAAAGGCGCAGTAAACGAAAATGGCAGCACGAATTTGATCGGTAATTTTATTTTATCGTCCGGTAAAAGCAACGTTCTTCAAAGTAATTCGGAAACCACTAACTTTAACCGCTTCCAATGCCATCAACGAAACAATTACAATATGGGAATCCACGTCCAATGATGCACTTGGGGTAAGTGTGATTTCGTGCTGCTTACGGTCAACATCACTCTTGTTCTTTCAGCAGGGGTACCCTGGCCAGACAAAGCTCACCACAATCAAATGTGTGTATAACACTCCAAAAACAACGTCGTCCGTAAGTGCTTTGACTGTATCTTCTTTGGTTTCCGAGAAACGGGTATGTACAATAGTCACATGTTTGAGAGATTTGAGTCAGATAGTTGCAATGGCATTGGAGCCACCAGACGAACGTCATGTTTACAATAGCAAAATGGTGTATGCGATATAACAGACATGGTTACTAATATGGTCAAGATTTTTATTATGTATACTCACAGTCACGGTTCATTTAGCCTAATGGCATGGTAGACTATGGTCGTATTGAATAATTCTTGCTTTCAGCCTGGAAGAAACTGGTTGCTGACATACAATCCAGTGATATTTGCGTAATAGGTAGTCTATAAATTTGCTGCTACGGTGCACACAGGTTGTGTTCATTGTGATCTCAATTGATTCCATTTCCGATTACAGATAACTGATTGCCAACGATCAGTAAGCGATTTACGGAATGTCGATTGAGACAAGAGCGTTTGAAGCACCACCTCCAACCGGCCTAAAACATCAATCGAGGTCTAGTTGCTCGGTATCTCTCACATACTCACTGCGATTTATGATCACAATCCGCCTCTATGCAGATGCTCCTCAAAATCCTGGTTTCTATCTGTATTAACTCAATTTGCCGAAATCATTTTAACTGCCATGAATAATAGCTTTAATCGCATTGCGTTTCATCGGGTTTTCTTAATTTCGCATTCCGCATATTTGTCTCAGTTGTGATTGCTTCACGACTGACTATAAAGGTGTCTGTTACTCTTCAAATCGACGAATTTAGCAAATGATCGAAGCCCACTTGTGGGGCCGTGTACCGTCTGTCGGTAAATATGTAAATTTACTTAATTTATTTATTTGTTTCTTTTATAAATCGAAAATAACCAACTACGATTGCTGTTGCTTTAGACATGAAATTATTAAAGTGGAACAAACGCGTTAAAAAAATTCGGCCAAACGCCTGATTCGATCGGCTGATGGGCCAAACTCGGTAGATATGTTCTAAAAGTGAGAAACGCTTACGATAAGTGACCAAGTTTATTTGCTATATGCTAATTCGTATCACTTGTGTTACCTTGGAAGCCAATATGATCAAAAGTCAACAACAACATATGTGCAAACACTAGTTTTGTGAGTGGTCATCTACCGTTGTCTGTCCTAGATACTTCCATGCCTCCAGCATGCCTTGTTTGAATAGGTCCATAAAGTAAGATGTCTCAGACTAAGCATAGCACGTCCCACTTGTTTCGACTTCCTGTAGGAACGAACGAAACGTTCTTCACCGATATCACTACACTAATATAATAGCCAATAGTATTTAGCTCGGTACAATCTAAATGAGGAAAGTTGCGGTATGTGGTACAATCTAAAGTATATAGACACCAAATGAGGAGAGTTTCGGCAAGGCCATCCCCCATCCCTGCAATCCAAGGCCAACGGTTTCATCTTGTTCCCGACTAGGTATATAGAGGCAGCCTAAATTGGGAGCATAATTCGGCATTTAGTGTTTGGCAGCTTTGCCAAGATCACTAGACTATTGAGCTCCAAGAACAGAGCTTGACATATATCAAATCTCAATGTCAAACATCGACTGTTGGGACAATTGTGTTTGGCACAAGCATATTGACATTACCGAATTAGGTCATGTAAGAGTTATTTCACAATAAACATTGAAAATTGAAGCTTCCGTGAGTCCATCCTGATCACCATATGGAGGAAGGTGATGAACATAACCGACTATTAGGTGTCACTTTTGGACTAGTCTTTTGTCTATACTTAATGCAATGTGGTGGATAGTGCCACGTCTTAGTCACATCCCTCGCAGCAACTAATTTAGTGTAGGTCTCAGTCATTCAGATTAGACGTGATCCAGTGTTTGCATGTGAAGTTTGTAGCTCCGGCAACCCGATCAATTGAATCCGCATGTGCTGGGCACTCAACTACTCGTTATTCCGTGTCTACGCTTTTGGATAATGGGTGGGTGCCACGGACCAATCACAGTTCCATTAACATGTGTATCAGTTACAAAAATATCAATATTATGAGGAATATTAATAAAAGATA